TTAAACCTGATTGACAGGGCTCACTCAGCAAGGGGGCGAGGGGGCAGGGAGAGAGGCATAGGCACACCTGGGAAGGGACCCGGAAGTTTAAAACAGGACATTGCAACACACCGCAACAACCAACCACCCGACACCTTGTTGGAATGTTAAGCCTGATTGACAGGACTCACTCAGCAAGAGGCGAGGGGGAAGGGGAAGAGAGGTATTGCCACACCTGGGAGGTGACCTGGAAGTCTAAAACAGGACATTATAACACACCGCAACAAGAAATAATGCTGTAAGTGGACATATAACAGTAATATTGAGTGTTTTCATATGAAGGATTGCTAGTTCGCTTTCTTGTTGTCGAGAACTGAAGTCCAAGCTGCTGCAATTTTATTCACATTTGCACAAGCATAAGCAAATAGTGCATTCAAAACAATAACATAAAATGAAGTTGTAATTGGTATTGTTGGAAGAAACTCTTGTGTTCTTTACATGATGTAGCAGAATGTAGCAATGGAGGCTTCTTACAAACATTGAGTTACTGCCCTAGGTACCCAGTAGATACTGTGGTTTAATTGGAGTAGTCTTTATCTGTTTTAATATATAACTGGAAGCAAGAAAACAGCTAGCAATTTGTTAAGCATTGCTGGATTAATTGGGGAATGATTTTGGGTGTATTCGTGATAATATTTGCTACACTACTCTGATTTTCTTTTCATCCGTGTTTGCTAGGAAGAGGCTGAGAATAGTTCTTGCAAAGTTAGCAATAAGTGTTTTTCCTATGCAAAAGGAAAAAGCAGTCTATGTGTGACAAATTAACCCTTGCATTAAACAGTACAGTTTACACTCCAGGGAAAATTATTAAATTCTAATATCTGGTGGTTGAACTTCTCATTCACTAATATACACACTAGTTAAGGGGGAAGAGAGGTTGTTTAGACAAAGACAATGACTTATATTAATAGAAAGATACCATTAAGCCAAATGAAATTTGTGTGTGCTCAGACTTTAATACACAGATTTTTTTTTTTCAGATGTGTTTGGTGTTTCTCCTTTGGGAAGTCCTATGTCTCCTCATTCCTTGTCATCTGACCTTTCATCGTCCCGAGATTCATCTCCCAGCCGTGATTCATCAATTGCTGCTGCAAGTCCTCATCAGCCAATTGTAATTCACAGTTCAGGAAAAAAGTATGGCTTTACCATCCGAGCAATCAGGGTTTACGTGGGTGACAGTGATATCTACACTGTGCACCACATTGTTTGGGTAAGATAATACATGTTTTCTTGCTGATATGTGGCCACAGAATACTGTGATGATGGATTCGCTTTTCTGTACCCATGGCATCTCTTTATTAACAATTACTGTGTAAATTACAATGATATGCCAAGCAGTTTTTCTTAGAATGAAATTCTGCCTGTATACAAGAGCAGTGTTGCCTATAGGGAAGACAACAAGCTGTCTTTGGCAGAATATTATCTACATGTAGTGTTGAACTTCTGCAACTTCTCTTAACTTCTGGCAAGTTTCTCAGTTTTGAAAAACAGTGTCTTGAGTTCAGAGTGTTATGTCTTAGAAAACCAAAGGCTTAGTGCAGACCCTCTTTGATTTGGGTCAGGATTTGCAAATTTAGGAGACTGTAAAGAGAAATTGTTGAAAAATAGGTGGAGTATATTAAACTACATAAATTAAGGGATTCATGAAAATCAGTACTATTTTACAAGATGCACGTAAGCTGATCTCAAGTACTGATTTTCTGTTTGAAAAAATCATGTATTTTTCATTCTCTCTTCACTACACAGTGGGAGGGAGGCTAAAGCAATTCTTTGGTTGTCAGCCTCCTTAATTGTAAAATAATTATATACTTAGGTACATATATATGCATTTTTTTATCATTTATGTTGGTAACAAATTATAATTTTATATATGGTTTAAATTACATGTACATTAATAGTATGTGAATATAAATTATTTCAACTTTCCTAAAAAAAATATCCAAATTTACCAAAAGACTTCATTTTTTTGCACTGTTTAGTTTTAAATATGTATGGTAGATTTTGAAGTAGCAGTGGTGATGTAGTGTTTTATTCATTTTTTATTCATATTGTTTATCCTTTAGACCTATTAATCCATCAAAAGTATTGAATCTGGAGAACTGGGTACATTTGGTGGATAATGGAATAAATTTTAAAAAATTATTTCTTCCTACTAGTGTAACATCACACCACTGAAAGGAAGGGGAAAAATGGTACATGGCAGTAAAAGTTAAACCTTGGGTTTTTTTAAAGTATTATAAGTTTGTTGTTCAAGCTCTGTTTGCATTGTAGTCTTCAGTAGTGTCTGCATGACTTAAACTACTCATTTAGAAATATAAAAAAATATTTAAACTACCTTCAAAATATTTTTCAATTCAGTTACTTTTGGTCCTTTGTCACTTTTATGCTGCACCAACCCCTCTAATGGGAAGCCTGGTGAATTTGAACCAAATAGAAACAATCCTTAACCATATGGTAGAGTTAATTTTAGTTATGGTTACCATTACCTTAATTACATAGTGTTTCTCATTTTCAGATGCTAAAAATCTTCACTTAGTTCTGTAATTTTGCAGTGGGTAGTGAACCATCCCTTCTTACTATGCATGAAAACTCCCTATTTTACAGAGCTTACTTAATACCCATAGCAACCAGCAGTGTTTCAGTGAGCTTTGAAACCATTCCAGGCCCCATATAAAGTTTGAGTAAGTAGGGAAGACTCATACAAAGTTGGAGTAAGTAGGGGATGGTGAAAGAGCTGAAGGTATTTTTCTTCTTTTCTTCCTTTACATAACTTAGTATCTGTAAGTTTCTTCATTGCCAATGGGTTTGGGGTTCATTTTGTGTATATTTTCTTCCTCTCTCTTTTTTAGAATGTGGAAGAAGGAGGTGCAGCTTACCAAGCAGGCTTAAAAGCTGGAGACCTGATTACTCATATTAATGGAGAGCCAGTGCATGGTCTTGTTCATACAGAAGTCATTGAATTGTTGTTAAAGGTAACTCTTGGACAGCTGGGATACTAAAGTGATTGCTGTTTTCACCAGTGATGATGGGGTTATGCTTGATTTCTTGAGATTAGTTACTTAATTTTATTGTTCTTAGAAGCACAAACTCTTAGCTGCTCTTGCCATAGATCTGGAGAAGGGCCAATAACTTTCCTATATCGTGCATGATTTTAGTTTTTCTCCCATAGACTGGTAACATTGAGAGATAGCTGAAGTAAATTCGAGGCAATGGGAAAAAAAGATGTCTCTGTCTCTCAAAAAAATTGACCTTCTCAAGAATGTTATCGAATGCCTGCATCTTCCTCAGATAATTCAGGCTTTTGACAATGATGATACCTCTCATTTTTCTTCTTTAAAAGTGAAAATCAGTGAGGAAAAGTAAAACCAAAGAATATTAAATATTTGCCTGCTATACAGGAGGTTGCCTTTCATATTAGGGCCCAAAAGGTTTTTGTCTCATGTATACCCAGGTATGTCTGACAGAGTCTCTTCGATTAATGAAATTCTCATCGTGCAGCTGGACTTTCAGGACTAATCTCTCACATTTTTCTCTTGTGGTTTTCTGAAGTCTGTCTTATTAGAAAGGCATAGTTTTTCCATGGAAACAAACAAACCACCCAATAAAGAGAAAACAAAACCCTTTTATTTTCTCTGTAGCTCATTGAATCTCAGTTTTCATGTAATCTTTCCAGTGTAAGCTAATGTAGGTCAGAATTACTTTAGACAGCTGTATATTTGCTTCTTATATTATTAACAATTTATAGTGTTATGTGCAGAGCTCAAAGTGAGTAGTCAGTTATAAAAGAAGTCCAAAAAAAGCACTGGAAGGCAGTGAGGTGATAGGGAAAAGATAAAAAGCTAAAGATGAAAAATACACTGTTTCTTCAGTCTTTATTTTATTTCTCTGAAACAGGAAGAACTTCCAAGTTTTCCAATTTTGAAAGAAATATTTAAGCGAAAATTCTATATGACTTATGGCAGTCAGCTATGCACTCATTGTCTAGGTCAGATGCAGAAAAAGAAACATGACAACCCTGCTCAATACTTAGAAGAGTAAACTCAAAACAAGAGATCATTGTTTATCTACAACTTAATATGTTGGGCTGTATCATAAATTAATTTGGGCTATTGCAGTTTCTTTGAAAGGAAGTTCACTGTAGGGATATACTGTGCTGAGCAGAAGCTACAGATTTTTAAAACTAGCAGAAAATACTTTTTTTTTTCAGTCATCTCTTTGTGCGATCAGTGCTAAAAAGCTTAGGTTAATCATACTTGTTAACCCTTTTGAACAAGATAAAAATGTGGTTTGGGATTGCCAGTGAAGATTTAATTTTTCTCCTTTGTTTCATCATTGTAACAGTTGTTGTCTTGAGATGTGAGTGGACCACTGTGCAGTTACAGCTGCTCTTTGTGGGAAAATCAGGTTTTTCTGTAGAAGCTTCTATCTTGAAGTGTTCAGTCTTGGTTAATCCTTGGTGTCCTCCTGTCTGGCCACAATTACTGGAGTTACTCCTTGTCCTGGAGCTTGAATGGAGGAAGTTGGGAAATACGGCAGAATTTGAGAACTTCCCAATCCTCATTTACTAACTATGCATGGCAATGTCTGCATAGGGTTCCCTGCAGAAACACCACTTTTTCTGGAGTTGATTCTCATTGCATTTGCATGTATGGTGTAGATTCGGTGTAAGGCAAAGTTGTCTTGTGTAATTCATATTACTGACGCTTAAGGCATCTTCTTTCATTTTGGCAGAGTGGCAACAAAGTCTCAGTAATGACAACTCCTTTTGAAAACACTTCCATCAAGACGGGACCTGCCAGACGGAACAGCTACAGGAGCCGAATGGTTAGGCGCAGTAAGAAGACCAAGAAGAAGGAGAGTTTAGAGAGGTGAGTGGTCCTTTGCTTTCACAGTGTGTCTGTCTGTACATAGCAATAAATTTAAAATATGAAGCTAATGCAGTTTTTTCTCATCTTCTGTATTGCTACCTTCTTTCTGAGATTGTGGCCTTCCAAATCTTGTTTTGTCTAAACTAGATCTGCAAAATAACTAAAAATAGTGAATAACTGAGGTTGCATCATAATTTGGCTTTACTATATAATTTTGCACTTGTTTAATTAAACTTTTTAGTGCTAGTGCTTATCAGCATTTTGAATATGATACGGTTATATGTATTTTATAAATATGTTGCTAGTACTTTATAGATATTTCTTCAGTTTTGATAGGTTGCTAAATTTAGAAAATAAAGATCTGTACTCATAAGGAGATAGACATTCTTCTGAAATATAGTAAACATTAGTATGAATAAAATTAGTTACAGTGTCTATCCCACCTGTTAGTGAATCAGGATGCTTTCTAAACTTCCCAGTCTGCAGTGTGGTTTGCTTTCATGTAAAGATAGATTTACTATTTTCATAATGTCAGCTAGCAAGAATTTTGCCTGTGCTGATAGTATCTTCTGTGCACCTTAACTTATGATTAATGCTGTGTTTTTCTCACACAAGGAGAAGATCTCTCTTTAAAAAGCTGGCAAAGCAACCCTCACCTCTTCTTCATACAAGCAGAAGCTTTTCCTGCCTGAACCGATCACTTTCTTCAGGGGAGAGCTTGCCTGGGTCTCCAACCCACAGTTTATCTCCTAGATCTCCTACCCCAAGCTACCGTTCCACTCCTGATTTTCCATCAGGTGAGTGTGAAGCAGTGGAGAGCAGAGGAAAAGGACTGGAAGAGTACTGTGCATTTTGTGAGCCCCCACAGATCTGATATGCTCTCCTAAGAGCAGTCAGCTCTGACAAGTATAGTCATAGAACAACTGTTTTCTGTCTGGAAAAGGGAAACAGATTCCTGATGCAAAACAAAAGGTGTTTTTATGATACAGAAGCACCTAAAAAGCAATTGTCTCTTAAGTTTGTCCTAGTTTAAAGTTCAGTCCAGTGGCTGAAAGTTGAATTATAAAAAGTCCATATTTGCAGCAAAAGAGAGAATTTTGCCTAAGAGATAAAAGAATGAAAGTGAGATAAAAGTTGCTACATAATGGAACTAGGATGGCACTCATGAATGCAGATTAATTGCTGAAAAGATTAGCTGAGTGCTAAAATATGCATCTCTCTAACTCCTAAAGGCCTGCCCCTTTTTTCTTCTTTAACTTCTGTCACAATTGTAGTGTGTACTGGAATTGACTGCTATTGTACAATCCCTTGGCAAAGGTAAATTATATGGAAAGCCTTGATCATTGCTTTGAAGTGTCAGAAAGCATTAGTTATTCTATTTAAGTAAAAGCAAGAGATAACTTAAAGGGGATGATGGAAGAGAGAGAAAGGGAGAAACAGCATATGTAATTGGAATGATGCAGGTTTTGCAGCCTAAAACCTTTTCCACTTAAAACCTTCCAGATTTTGGAACACTGTAGTGGGAGACAGCATAGGGCTTTTGTTCTACTTCTCACTGAACATTTAGACAACATAGAAAAAGTCTTGCTAATCTTATGTTTGTTTGCTTGGTTTTTTGTTCTTTTTGTAGGTACTAACTCTTCTCAGAGTAGCTCCCCTAGTTCCAGTGCTCCCAATTCTCCAGCTGGTTCAGGGCACATAAGACCCAGCACTCTTCATGGCTTGGGTCCAAAGCTTGGTGGGCAAAGATACAGATCAGGAAGGCGCAAATCAGCCGGCAGCATTCCCCTTTCTCCTCTCGCACGGACACCTTCTCCAACACCCCAGCCAACATCTCCTCAGCGATCTCCATCACCATTGCTGGGACATTCTATTGGAAATACAAAAATAGCTCAGTCTTTTCCTAGCAAAATGCACTCACCTCCAACTATTGTGAGGCATATTGTCAGGCCAAAGAGTGCAGAGCCACCAAGATCTCCACTGTTGAAGAGAGTTCAGTCTGAAGAGAAACTTGCACCCTCTTATGGCAGTGATAAAAAACACTTATGTTCACGAAAACATAGTCTGGAAGTGACCCAGGAAGAAGTGAATAGAGAGTTGTCTCAAAGAGAGGTAACTCTGCAGAGCTTGGAGGAGAATGTTTGTGATGTGCCATCGCTCACACGAGTCAGGCCTGCAGAGCAGGGCTGCTTGAAACGACCCATCTCCCGAAAATTGGGTAGACAGGAATCCATTGATGAGCTAGACAGAGAGAAGCTGAAGGTCAAGGTAGTTATGAAAAAGCAAGATTTTGCTGAAAAAGCAAATGCTGCTATACATGAACCTAGCAGTGAACCAGAAATTCCCAATACCTTGAGACTGGAAGAAAGAGACAAAAAAGCATTCCAGAAGGTATTAGAAAGATCAAACCAGTTTGAAGCTAAAATTGTTACTGTAGAGACCCAGTCAGCTGGTGGCATACTCAAAGACACCCTTCAAAAGAATGCAAACTTGAGATCAAATGATGGTGTTGCTTTAGAAGGACAGATGTTGTCTCATGGGCCTCCCCCTAATGAACTCAGTCATATTTCTTGTGACTTCAAAAGAATTTCCCCTTCATGTACCCTGCAAGATGTGCTACCTCAGTCCTCTGACAAGATACTTAGTGGAAAGGGAGAAAACACAGATAAAATTGTACCAACAAAAGAATTTGTCAAATTTGAAAGATTAGATGGTAAACTTGCAAATATTGATTATCTCAGAAAGAAAATGTCTATTGAAGAAAAAGATGACAGTGTCTGTCCAGGACTAAAACCCAAGATGACATCTAATGTTCATGAATGCCTTCAACTTAGTACAGGCAGACCTGTAAACATACAGCAGGACTTCACTGCAGTTGCAGATGGTAGAGCATTTATTGGCAGTGCACATGCTACTCAGATGAACTCAGTTTCTTTTGTTCCTCTCAAGACCTTGAGTGGCCGAGCAGACATGAGTGTGGAAAAATCAGCCCTTATTTCTTCTGAAGCTCCTGTCAGAAAAAGTCCTTCAGAATATAAGCTTGATGGGAGGTCTGTTTCCTGTCTGAAGCCAATAGAAGGCACGCTAGACATTGCGTTACTTTCTGGGCCACAGGCTTCAAAGACTGAGCTGCCTTTGTGTGTGCTGCCAGAAGGACAGAGCACCAGCAGTGATGGGGGATCTCCTAAACCCCCAGTGCCACAAGGGAGTGGTGGGAAGGTAGAAATGGTGTCTCAGAAAGAGCAGTTGTTAAGTTACCCAAAATCTGGCAAAGTCAGCATCGCAGAGCCTCAGGTCCTACAAGCAGGCAAGAGTTGTCCAAATCCACCACTTATCTCTGTGGCTACAGAAGTAGTGACAGAGAAAAAGGTTTCTAGTCCAGCCACTAAAGGCAGTATTTCTGTTGTTGAAGCTGTTCAGAAGAAAGATACCTCCCCTTCAAAACAAAAGGACTATTCAGTGGAGGTAAAGTCTTGTGTTACTCAAAGTCAGAGTTTTAAAATTACTCAAACATATTCCAAACCTTCTGCTGGCCAAAGCACTACTGAAAAGGCTGTAGGAAAAGAGAAGCAAACACAGAAAGAGTTGCCTGTCAAACAGCCAGTATCCCAGAGAGGTTGTGAGCCTATCCCTGCAAAAGTAGAAGTAATCAGGGAGTCATCTATGAAGGTTTCTGTCTCAGACGTCCTGATAACAACCTGCTCCAAGAGCAGTGAAAAAAATTGTGCTGATTTTGCCATTCCACCTGAGATGCAAGGAAAAACACAGCCAGCTGGCCCCAAGGCACAACCTAAGGATGGCAGAGAATCACTGAAACAGCTAGGCAAAGATGACAGCAGTGTTTCTAAAAGTTTTGTGGAAAGGGAAGTAACCAAGCAGAAAGCTGAGTCTAAGAAAATTGTCACGGAGACAAAGAGTGACTCTCTTCCATCCAAATGGCCTGTGCAACCCTCAAGAGATTGTGATCATAAAATCGAGAAGTCTGCACCAGTTTCTTCTGTGCAGAAGGACAGTGCTAAAGACATGGGAAAGAAAGATCAGAAATCACTCACCGATATAAGGCTCCATAGTAGTGAGAGAGAGCAGTCCAGCCAAGTTCCTCGGCAGCAACTTAACCCTTCAGGCTCCCCTGTTGTGAAAGAGGCAGTGAGCAGACACAGCACCACAGAAGTTCATGGAGGCATTCAAGAACACTTGAAGCCTGCTTCCACCTGTGTGGAAAGCAGCAGCAATAAACCCAGGCCAGCCTCTGATACAAGTTCCTCCAAGTCTAAGTCTTTGGATAAACAGATGTTGTCACAAAAACCATGTTCTCCAACCATAAAAGAAAAAGAAATTGTCACTCAGTTGTCTGCCAGCTCCCGGAAGGATGGAAAGCATGCCAGTAAAGGTGTCCTAGATCACCTTTCTCCTGCTCCAGGCTCTTCAAAAAGAATGAACATTGAACATGTGCAGGTTGAAAGGCCTGTGGGTTTGGACCATGGCTCAGTCACCACCCTCCAAATGAGCAGCACAGCCCCTGACACCAAACCCAAATCCTCTGCTGTGGGCCCACTTCCAGCAGGCCCAGAGAGTTCTAAGCAGATGCAGAGGCAAGAAGCAGCAGGCTTGGGGGAATCTGCTGATCAAAAGCAACTTCGTTTCAGTGAAAAACAAACGACCACTCCAAAGTTTTCCACTGTGAAAGGCTGTGTCTCACTGAACAAAGAGGCAGAGAGAAGTCCTGGTAATGAGATGATCACTGCAGACAAAAGACCTGAAGGAAAAATATGCACTGACGCACTTTACGTTCAGCTTGACAGTGGGAAAGTGGAGCCTACCCTTTGTCTCACAACCTGTGATATCAGAGGGAAAGGAGCAGAAAAGGCAACCACAAGTAGCAAAATCTCTCAAGATATAAAAGGGAAGGGACAAGTTAATCAGAAACAGCCAGAGGATGCAAACAAGCAGACTGCAATAAAACATCTGCTGGCTGCCAGTGGGCAAAGTTCTTGTTGTGCAGCTGCAACACCGGGAAAGCCACTGACTTGTTCATCCAATTTCTCTGAATGTAGACAGGAAGTATCTGTTTCATCTCTTTCAGCCAAAAGTGACGCATCTTCAGCAAAGGTTAAGCCAGGTTCATCAGAACTTCCTGCAACTTCCAAGGAACTAAGTAAGAAAAGCACCTCTTCCACAGGGAGCAGCAAGGCAGAAATGACTAAGAGTGTTTCACTGATGGCCTTGCACAGTGCCGCTATTGTAGCAGAAGCCCACCACCCTCCTTCAAACCTTGGGGGGAAACCTGGAAATCAAGAAAAACCTCTTTTCGTTAACACTGTGGATGTAAAGGGAAAAGATACTGTTCTGACTCAGCAGTCTGCTTCAAGAAAACAGAATGTCGGTAAAGATTTACCTCGGTCAGCAGCCACAGCTGACCGCCCTAACGCACTTTCAGATGACAAAGACTCAGCTCGGCAGCGTCGAGGAAAGGAAGTTTCACGGAGCAGTGCTCACAAAAAAACGTGTTAACTCTAAAACCTGGCAAGTGTGTATTCAACACTAGCTGAAACAATTTCAGTATGTTGTACTGCCTTTAAACCAGCACTGTGTCGTGTCTTTGTGCGGCAAAGCTTTCATGTCACTGAAGAAACAATACAAGGGGATATGTAAAGAGAGGACTTTTTTTCAAAATGCCTTTCCAATTGTAACCGGTAAAACTGTTACCACATAGTATTTGTACAAAAATACCTTTACAGCCTAGGACTGTTGAAAATACTTCTTCTGTAAATACTTAGCAATGTGTTTGGGGTTTGAATGTAGCATATATACTTTGCTGCTGGTTGCGTTGTTTACTCTTTCCCTTTTTAAGATAGTTGCTTTGCCACCTATTTGCCATACTCGAATATGAAACCAAATTACTAAAATTCAGAGCTGGCATGGACATGCACAAGCATTGGTCTGACTGGGAAAAAAGAAGGCCACATTTTTACTGACTAAAAATCCTAGACAGAGGCTAAAAAATACTAGTACAGAATAATAGGGTGATCTATTGTGAGTTTTTACATGTATTTTTTAATACTCTGATTTTGATAGTACTGTACTTGGCTGACTGCTTCACCAGATCTAACACAAGAAGTAACTCCATCTTCCTGCTGTACAAAGTCTGAGTAGAGTAGGTGTCCTATGGGAAAGGGAATAGGTGTCCCTATGGGAAAGCTATGGGAAGACCCCTTAATTATCAGGCATCCCAGCAAGAGGTGTGTTCTCTGGTGAAATGATGGTTCTTGCCTTGTCTGTTGGGAGTGTATTGTGCGACTTTCACCTCAGACAAGGCTGAAATTCTGAATCACGTGCCATGTGCTTCGTTTTTTGCTGCAATCCTCTCGAGTTCCTTGAGCTTTTTTAAATTCAGGCCCAGTGTGAGGCTCAAGTATATAAGCACATGACTGGTAGTACTAGTATGTTCATCCCTGTTCTTAATACATTTAGAGAATACATATTATTGGCATATAATGTCTGTTTAATTAGTGTCATACAGCTGGTAGCTGTTTTCTATTTTATGACAAGTAAAGTAAAAAGGAAAAACACACTTCGGTATCATATCCTCAGAAAAGTTTAGGCTATCTGACACATTTTCATACATAGCTGGGGCCTTATGTTGTAGACCTAACTTGCTGTTTTTAGCAAGTAATCCTGGGTTTCATATTCATTTTGAAATGCATTGAGTAGCTCCATACATTTCATAACATAATCTTTTTATTTGTATGCAAAAAAAAAAGTTCAATACTGTAATTATAAAAGAAGCATTTTTTTAACAAAGGAACTTGTTGGAGCTATTTGGTGCTAGAATGTTACTGTCTTTTTACTTTTGCTAAGCCTTATTTAAATTTTGTATACAGTGGAACGTGCAGACTTTGACCATTTTTGTGTGGAGTATTTAGCTTGTTTTGAGGGATGAAAGGTAAAATTTGAAACATGTACAGAAGCACTACGAAATACCCTTGCAGGCGCATGGGTTTTAATAATTGGGGATCAATAGAATGGTTGTTTTGCTTATTTCTATTTTCTGTAGCCACAGTAGAGCTAGGCCCCTACATTTTTCACCAGTGCTTATGGTTTGTCTTTCTGTCTCAAAAGCTAGAAAAATTTTTGTAAAAGCACAGTGTAATCTTGACTTGGAGACTTGTGTGACAACAGAGAGTGTGCAGAATTCATTATCCTCTGCTGAAAACTTTATTATACTGATTTGTTGAGTTGGATTACAGCAAACCTGTAAGGAAAATCCAGTATCACAAACAACTCCTGATTTTACATGTGGCACTAGAACATTAATACTGCCTTTATGCATTCAGAAAGGAGCTAGTAAGCAGTGGATAATAATTTTTGAGAAGTCTTAAAAATAAAATGGTCTCAACATTTACAGTTCATCTGTGCTTTGGCAGTTAATACAAGTGAATGCTAATGCACTTCAAAATAACATTTCTGTCTGGGAGATACTTCCTAGTTTACAGTCTCTGCATTTTTTTAGCTATCCTCTTGTTTCTTTCAAAACCCATCTAGCTTTTGTTTACTGTATACCTTTATGAATATTTTGTATTATCACTTCTGACAAATAAGTTCTTTGCATTTTGGAAGTGTGACGTGCATAAGCTTGTGTTTATGTAGTAACTGTTTGTTGATGTTTACCTTATAAGTGAGCTGTTAGAGATCCTCCTGCCTGTGTTCTTCTTGGTCAGTCTTAATGTGATTATAGATCTGATGTGTTCTTTTGTAGACTTCCTGCAGTAGATTTCTCAGCTTACAAAAAAAATTTTGAAAGTTAAAAAAAATCGTTAGGGTCTGTGCAATAAAGTGTTTGCAGTCTTATTTTCTCTGACAAACTCCTTATGGATGTCATAATTGTTATATATTGAACACAGTTATTTATACTTATGCAGTTGCATACATTGAAATAAAATTCAGCATGAAATTGTTGTGTTAGCATTTTTTCTTGATATGCTTTCACTGTTGTAATGTAAGGTAAATCTCTGCTGTACTCAGAGGCTTGCAGTTTAAGAGTTTTTTGGGGCCAGCTCAAAAAAAAATGGTGCACCCTTTAAGGCATGTGCTAGCGGAGGGTTTTGCGTGAGGAAATGCAGCTTGGTCTGGGGACAGAGAAGGTGTGCATGGCTGAGCATCTCATCTCAGGCCACGTCTGGATGCTCTGCTCCGCTCTTGGATAGGAAGTGTGGTGTGGGGGTGCATGGCATAGCCTGACTGCTGGCTTCTGCAGAACTCATGTAATCATTTATTACTGTAGGAGCAGCACATACTAAAGTATCCACCTCTTTACTTTTCTGCTACTCCTGACTCTGCAGAGCTGCCCTGCAGCTGGTAACTTGTGTTCACGTACTATTATTGCATTGTTTTCTCTTTGTTTTTCCTCTGTACAGCACTAAGTGCTGTATTACAGCATCACTTTTGCTGCTTTTCTCTCTCATTTGAAACATACAGGTGAGGGGAAGCTGCAGTTCACCCCCAGCTTTTCCAGTTTGCTGCAGCCCACATGAAGGCAGATGGTCTTGAAAATCCGGTGTGCTGACAGGGGGTGATGGGTTGAGGAGAGAAGAGCAGGATCCAGCAGCTGAGGGAAGGCAAACGAGAAGAGTTGAGTGTTGACTGTCTCATGCCTCTGCCAGCTGTGCTATTCCATGGCTGTGGACAGCACAGTTGTCTCTGTCAGGAGAGGCACAGAAACCTGCATGCCCAGAGTGAGCCCCCAGAGTGTTGCCGGCCAGAGGAAAGGGGTGGTGTGTGGAGTTTGTGTTAAGGGGGAAGCTAGGAGAGATGGGTTATCACTGTTACAGCTGGCATGGCCTGTCATCTTCACTCTTTCATCTTAGTTGGGATGGGAATGCTTCCATGGTCTGAAGGGGAACGAGAACTCCCTTCTTCAGCACTGAACTCTCAGTTTGCTGAACGCCCTTAGGCCTCTTATTGTAGTCTTGCACAGCCTGCAAGACTTCACAGAGACATCCAGCTTGATTTGGATCACAACTGAGAGGGCAGATCAGAAGGAAAAGATCTCAGGACAGGAAGATACTCGAGGGTGTGTGGATGTATGTCCCACTGCCTGCCTTGAGTTAGCAACAGTTTTTGTGTCCATTGACTGTATCTGTAGTATAGTGTTGATTAGAACTGACCAGATCAATCTCCCAGGTACCTGCCAAGGATGCATTTGAATGAACTGAGTGTAGGAATCACACAATGGTTTCGGCTGGAAGGGACCTTAAAGTTCGACCACCATGGTCAGGAAGCAATGCTAAAGGTTATAGTTCGAAAGCGAAAATTTGGGATCATCAGGAGGAACTGAGAAGACTGCAGAGTAAGAAGACAGTAACGGTGTAGTTGTGCATATCAAGCCTTAAAAAATGTATATTTGAAGGGGAAGAGGATGTCCAAGAGATTTGCTAGGGAAAAATGTCTTCTGCTGCTGGAGGAAAAGAACTCCAAATCCTGATTTGTTTGACATGGGAAGTATAGTATAGATTGTTTGGGAAGGAACCTCACCTGTTCTTTTTCCAGGTACAGACAAGACCAGTGAATGAGAGAGTTCTTAAAAGACGTTCCATTGACATCAGAGTATTTTGAAATTAACATATGTAGAAATTGGCCCACTCAGCCACATCTTGTTCAGAGTAAAATGTCCCTTCAAAAATTGACTTGCATCTTACTGAGGGGCCTTGCTTAAGCACAGTTAAGGAAAGAAGAACTTGGCTCTAAGTTCTGATTTGTCCTGATGAAATAAAGCTAAGTGCTTACCAGTCTGTGAAATAATGAAGATATGCTCGAGTTCCTTCTCTTTGCAAATAGTGATAAATTCTGTGTTACGGTATTGAGTTGCATTGTGACTTTCAGGGATGTGTAGTCCAGGAGCTAGGGTGGTGACAAGCTGAATTTTGTTCAGCACCATTCACCTCAAACATTCCTCTTGTTCTCTCTGTGCTGGCTTCATATCCATATTTGGAAAAAACAAGATAAAAGGCATGACTGAAAGCTAGAGGAGTGCATCGCATCAGAGCTTGACTAGGTACACAATTCTATATAAAAAAATCTATTGCCTCTTTCCATGTATATCCTTACTAAGTAATCCCAGAAGATGAAATCTTTGAATTTAACAGTTTTAATATGTAATCTAGGACATTTTAGTGTATTACATCCAGAGATAAATTTTCCTTCATAATAGTCAGTCCCTGTATTTAGGGTTTGTGTGTTCTGAAATATACAGCATATGCTGTTCAGCATTGTTTGCACAGTGTCTTACGAATCACATTTTTTTAGACAAATAGAGCAGAGTAAAGCATGCTGTAAAGAAAAGAGCAAAATCAGAATACCTGAATATATGGTAATCTAAAACAAGTTGTGTGGGGGGCAAGGGATAGATTGCAAGAAAGCCTTTATACTCTGTGCAAATATATATGGCACAGGAAACACGTTTTGCCTTCTCAAACATCTCAGTTTTAACAGTAAGTGCACACCTGAGTCTACACCGTGACACAGGACAGCATTTCAGAAACGTGGTGGTTAAATCCTGTGGTGGGCTCCCCAAACAGAAGGGCATTTCAGAATACCTTCCAGCACAACATGCAGTTTTCCCTCCAGTCATTGCTTTAGGTGGATCTCCCACAGTTATTACCTGATGCTTGTGCAATATTTTTTTTGTGCCCTTGGAGTGTGTTATGCTCCCTTTTGATGCCAGTATTTGTCTAACACCTTCCTGAACCCACCATTCCAAGAGAGAAACAAGTCTTTCTTCAGTGGAACACACTCTGGCAGTCATCTGGATTGTTAAGATTTTGGAGGTTGCTTATTTAACCAATTGGATTTGCAGAGTGAGAGGAAAATGCACCTTGAACCTTGGGCTGAGTTCAGGGATGTCCCTGCCTTGCTCCCAAGGTGTGCTCGGCTGGGGCAGCATGGTGTGCTCAGGGACAGCTCTGTCCTGGAGCTGAGCCCTTGCAGAGGGGCAGGCAGCCCGTGCAGCTTCATGTTGGGCAGCTGGACCACAGCCCCTGCCCACTGCATCAGGAGGAGCCTTCAGCAGCCACGTGAACAGAGACCAGCAGTACAGAGGCAACATTTTAGTACGCTAAATCCAGAAGTGTTTGTAGGCAGCTGGAGAAGAGCCGGAAATGCCTCTCTCTCCCTGTGTGCCCTTGGGCAGCACACAGCTGTGAATGCAGGAGGAGGAGAAACTGAGGGCTAGGGCAGTGATGGATGTGGTGCAAAGGCATCTAAAAGCTGCAAAAATGCATATTGCACGAGTCTGATGTGCTAACAGGTAGTAGAAGGGGCTCTTCAAATGAGAGGTATTTCTTACTGGAGAAGATCAATCTGGGATCTTGTCAGCAGTATCATCAGAAATGAGCAAAAACTTTCTAGTCCAGCAGGAACCTTTAAAATTTTAGCTCGTCAGCATGTTAGAGAGGAAAATGTTGAGGAAATGCCTTTGGACAGCAGCTGAAGCTGAATGTGGAGTCCTGCATGGGAACTCCATGTTGGGAGAGAGTTGGCCTTCCACATCTCAGAGAGCAGCTCCAGCCTGACGCAGCAGGAGTGGTACTGGGCCAGCTCCCCGTGGCGCACGCTCCAGGAGACAGGAGGGTCGTACCACCAGCAAAGTTCTGTCTGCCCATCAAGGTAAGCCTGTTACAGAAGTACTAAGTAAACATAAATGACTTTATGGTGGTACAGGGCAGATGAGTAGGCCTGGCAAGCTCCCATTAGATCCTGGTCGAATGCACATACTCTGCCTTACTCTGGGTTCATTCATTCACATGTGATGGCAGAGAAAGCAATTTGGCTTTATATAAATAAGTCTTTATTCCTGCCTAGTTGTTGCATATCAATTGCAGCAGGGACCATTGTCTCTGAATTCACCCAGGGATGCACACCGGGAGCAGCACAAGTAGCTGCTGACACCAGGAGCGCCTGTGGGATGAGGCTGTCCAGTGCTCTGCTCCCTTTGCAGCCTCTGGTTTTCTCACCTGGGCTGCGGCTGAAAGGAGCAGACCACTCCAGGCTGGCAAAGGCTCATACCTGTCAGCATGGAGGGGGCTTGCCCTGTGCAAGCAAGCAGAGCATTGGGCCCACAGATTAGACCCACAAATCTACAGTTTTACGGTGAAAGATCATTCTGCCGTTACCTACTGTGGGGTTTAGAAAACAGCACAGGAGCAGGGCCTGCCTCAGGCTGAAAGATGGATAGACAGAATTTCAATTACCAGGAATTCTCTAAGGATCAAAAGTATTTTAAAGAAATATTTTTTTAAAAACTCACAGAGGTGATAAATGCTGTTTCTGCCAGTCCTGCAAGCATGTCTTGTATAACTATAAATGTGTCTGTGCTTCACAGGTAGTGGTTGTTTTTTAGTTTTTTGTGGTTTTTTGCAGAGTGGGTTACACTACTGCCAGCTCTTACAAAACATTGATTTTCAAGGGTATTTGATAGAGGGTGGAATCTGGTTGGGGATTTTGGTTGGGCTTTTTTGTTTGGGTGAGTCTTGGTTAGGATATTTGCTTGGGGTTTTTTTCCCTCTTTTTGGGAGTGGTGGTGGTGGTGAGGTTTTCTTTTTTAAAGAGAGGAAAGTTAGTATTTTGGCTGTTAAATTTTCCAAGTGCATTAGCCACAGTATTGGTACAACGAGTACCACTGAGTTCAACAGGGACTTCTCTATAAGATAAGTTATTAAATTTCAAGATTCAGGTCATAATTTATTTATTTTAATTTTTTCATCATTTTTCTAAAAGTTTTAGCACAGGTAGAGAGGATATTAAAAAAGTCAAGAAAATACATGTCACAAGTAAAACCAGTGAGGTATTGTTCAGCTTAATACAGTTACTGTAGATATTTTCTGTGTCCCCATCCTAGACTTAGAGTTGCTTGTAATTTTGCTTGAAACAGTGAACACCCCAAATGAAGATGGCACT